CGGTACAACGTCAGAGTTCAGTTGTTGCCTCGTTATTCATTTGTTTTTATTTCCACGCCTCGAGTTTGCCTTATTATTTTTACGTTATCTTATGTAAATTTGTTAAATTTCTTCCGTTTCTTTATTTTGCTTGACGTTTCTTTTTTTTTATCGTATTCGTTATCATTTGTCTCTTATCCATTTGCTTCATTTGCCTATTCTTCATTACCTTCTTTTTGGCTTCATAATCTTACGTTATGAGCTTCTGGAAACCTTGCCTTTTGTGGAAATTGGTGTCGCTTCTCGTGTGTGCTATATAATCTACGCTCGTTACCTCTAGCTGGTCCATCGTGTTGGTGTAACGGAAACATACTTATCCGCCCTATTTTTTTTCCCCTCCTTATCCTATTTTCTCCTTCCCTCTTCCTTCGTTCTTCTCTTTTCCTCTTCCTTATGCCATCTCCCTTTCTCCTCCTTCCTCTTTCTTCCACATCCTTCTCCATCCTTCTCTATTCCCCTTCTGCCACACTTTTACTCATCTTCAGTTCCCTCTTCCGTTTTTTTTCTCTTCTTTATCCCCAGCCCCATTTTTTCCCCCTCCTATCTTTACCTTATCCTCTTCGTCCTTTCCTCTTCCTCCATTTTCCCCCCTCTACCCCCCCCACCCCCCCATTCTCGAGTACCTGTCTCTCCCTCTCCCTTTCTCCCTTCTTCTCACCAGCTTCTCTCTTTCTTCTTCACGCTCTCCTTTCCTTCTTCACCTCCCCCTTCATCTGCCCTATTCTTTCCTTCTTCCCTACCCCTTTCTTCCGTTTCCCCTTAGCCTACCGTCTCCCCTCCTCTCCCATTTCTTTTCTTCCTCTCCTCTCCTACTTCTCCTGCCCACTCCTTCCTTCTTCCTCATTGATAACATCAATAGACAAGTAAACCTAGACTGCTACTTGCTTCAGTTGGATGTCACATTTTAATATATCACTTTTACGTTCAAGACCGCCGTGGTGCAGTGGTAAAGCTCTCAGCTGACCGGATCCAAAGTCGCGAGTTCGAATCTCCCCTGGCTACAGAGAGGCTCCTCACTCGAGGTCCCTACTTTGATTTTAACCCAATGAAAATGAACAAAAAATTGGAAAAATGCTGTGCCTATTTTCTATATTTGTTATGAAATGTCTGCCCATAGATGGCTCTGCTAGCCACTTGGAAGGCACACGTTAAAATATTATAACCCTTAATTCATCCTCAGTTAGCTTCTGCGATGAGCAAAGCCGATGTGCAGTTGACTCTTTTCGAATTATCAAATGGATAAAAGTCTTTTAATGGAAATACTTATTCTAATTATACTCATTATTCCCATATGTATCCGTTTCCGTATTTTTTTTTTTATGGGAGTATTAATGCATGGTAGATATTACTACAACTGTATCATATCCTTATTTTTTTCTCATTGTTATGAAATACAGCTTAGCTCAAGACTGCGTTACGGAACCTGAATTATCTTCAAGTTACACCAAAAGTATTTTTTTTTAGACATCCGTTACTGGCGGTGGTGATTGTTATTGGTGTTACTCATATTTCTGTCACATAAAATGATTTAAATAGTATTACTATGAGGTATCTCATCATTATTTCTAGTAGTAGTAGTAATAGTAGTAGTAGTAGTAGTAGTAGGAGTGTTAATGATAATAATGATGATAATAATAACATTGTTATTATCATTATTATTATCATCATCATCATTATATCAGCATCATCATCATCACCATCATCACTGTTATTATCATTATAATTATCACTATACTTTATCATTACTATCAACACTCTTATTGTTATTAAGTGTATTATCCTCATGTATTGTCATTAATATCATAATCATTATATTCATTGTTAGAGCATTATCATTATCATTATCATTATCATTACCATTTTTATTATCATTATGATTATCATTATTATAAGTAGAAGTAGCACTGTCATTATCATTTTCATCATCATTTTTATTATTGTTGTCGTTATTATTATTATCATTAGTATCATAATCATTATCATTAACCATATTATCATTATTACTCTTATTGCTATTATCATTATTATCGATATTATCATCATCATTATCATCATCATCATCATTTTTATAGTTATTATCATTTTACTATTATTTTTTTTGTATCATCATCGTTGATACTAATGATAACAATATAATGGTAATATTAACGACAACAATTATTGCTGATACTATTATTTTCATTACGATCATCAATATTATTGAACTTAATATTATTAGTAGTAATAGTATTGTCATTGGTACTATTCTTATTACCGTCATCATTATCATTATTAGTATTGTTAGTATATGTATTAGCATTTTTATCAATATCATTATTATGATAATTATTATTAGTAGTAGTAGTAGTACGAACAACATAGTGTAAAATGATGGTAAATTTTATTGTACTAATTTTTTTTCTACGTATAGTGTCTCTGAAGCTTAGTAAAATTCATCTTCAGTTCTCTTGTGTAAGTATATTATGTACTATTTATATATTTCCATTAGTTCAGAGATATTAGAATAATATTTTACTTATTAGATAAGACTTATGAATACTGTATTAGGTAACTCACAACCCGCATTCCTTAGTGAAAACATTGACAAGTAGCCTTTGTTACTATTATGGTCTCTTTCTGTCTCTGTCTCTCCCTCTCCCTCCCTCTCTCTCTCTCTCTCTCTCTCTCTCTCTCTCTCTCTCTCTCTCTCTCTCGCTCACCTTTTTATATTTACCAAACCTAAGGAGTGACATACATGTTCTATGTGTTTAACCTGTACCAATATTTGGCCATTTCCACTGCTGTTTACACACTGGTTCCCTCTGGAAGCTCTGGGTGGGAGCTAGTGTTGCTGCAGTAGGCTTTCGGCGCTCGCACAGAACGCTTTAGGAGGCTTTTCGCGAAAACGTTCTTTTAGCGAAGGTGGTCACAAGGAGCGGAGACTTCTAAGTAGCGAAGACGTTCACATAGCGAAGGCGTGCACATAGCGAAGACGTGTTGATAAACGTTCAGGTAGCGAAATTCCCGTGGCGAAGACGTCGACAGCAGCCAAAACGACCGACTAATGTAAAGGTTCTGGTAGGAAGACGTTTATATAGTAAAACCACATCAGATTAATGAAGCAATGAATGCGTCCCGGTAACGAGGACGCACTCACTTCCCTCTCTCTCGATGGCTGCCACAAACACCCTGATAACGATCCTGTTCGGGGCTCTGCTCTCGATACCGACGTCCCACGCACTGTCCATCACGCCCTGGTGGACTTCCGAGCACAACGGCACGGACCTCGAAGACGCAGATCCCGAAGGAGGTGATTCTGACGGAGGAGGGAACGACGAGGAGGACGCGGACGAGGGTGGAGTGGATCTGGAGGAGGACGCGGACGAGGGTGGAGTGGATCTGGAGGAGGACGCGGACGAGGACGACGGAGGAGGAGGAGGACTGTGCGACGGGTTTGCGGCGGACGACGTAGCGGTGGAGTTTCTGGTGGTGGCGCTGAAGGAGCACTCGGGGCGCCTCCTTAGGAAGAGTTTCAGGTTCCTGGGTCTCGAGGAAGACGACAGGGCGGAAGAGACGGCAGGTGAGCGATTGGGGCGGTTGCTCTCTCTCTCTCTCATTCTCTCATTCTCTCTCTCTGTACATATATATATATATATATATATATATATATATATATATATATATATATATATATATATATATATATATCGTACAAAGCAAACGCAATGAAAATGAATGATGCAAAAACATTTCGATCAAATTCACATCAAGATATATATATATATGTATATATATATAAACCTATGTATATATTTATATATATACATATATATATAAACATATATACATATATATATATATATATATATATATATATATATATATATATAAACATATGTATATATTTATATATATACATATATATATAAACATATATACATATATATATATATATATATATATATATATATATATATATATATATATATGTTTATATATATATATATATATATATATATATATATATATATATATATATATATATATATATATATATATATATATATACATGAGATTTATATCACAAGAAACGCAATCAAAAAAAATATATATATCATGTGAATCACACACACACACGAGACACGTGCTCATTTAAATGCACAGACTAGAAAGGATATGATATAGAATGAATACCAACATGGCCTCAGAAAGATATACTGAATATGACCGGTTTCCTTTATATTTTCGTCTGAAGATATGATATTATCGACGCCGAAAGCACACATCTCTTGAGACTCATTAGCATACGTACTTTTCCTACATACACAAATTTATTCTAAACAGACGATGGTTCCGCGATGGACAACGCAATGGCGCAAAGCAGAGCGAGAACCAGTGATAAAAAAGGAAGAGAAGGCGGAACCGATAACAAGACGATAACCAGCGATGGAAGGGGAAGCGAGATAAAAACCGATAACAGGTTGAGAATCAAAGACGAAAGCGGGAGGAGAGGCACCACCGGTGATAAAAAAGGAAGAGAAGGAGGAACCGATTACTGGCCGAGAATCAAAGACGAAAACGAAAACTTTAACATGCCGAAAACGAACAACGAAAACGGAAACGAACAGAGCACAACGAAGTCACAGCCAACAACACACCACTTAGTACGACGCGACGGCTATGGGCACGAGCCTACCTATTATCCGGAGATCAAGTGCAAGCATTCGAACACAGGCTTGTACGGATTCCTGGCTTTCTGTATTCTCTCCTTTGACATCACAGCGGATATTATGAAGTCTATAAACATTTCAATTAATATTGGAGGTAAGGGCTGTTTTCATTTGTATTTTTATGTGCGGTTTTGTTTATATGTTTTTATGTTGCCGTTTCTCCGTCTGATTGTATGGCTCTCTGTCTGTCTGTCTGTCTATCTCTCTCTCTCTCTCTCTTACTCCCACTCTCTTTCTCTCTTTTACTCTCATCTCTCTCTCTCTCTTTCTCTCTCTCTCTGTCTGTCTATCTGGCTGTCCACTTATCTCTGTCCGAACTATTTTAATGACAAAGCACATGAAAATACAATACATTTGAATATCTAATTATAATACCTGTATCCTACATATATTTAATTAAGGCCAACATTTTCCAGGTATGCTGTCTTGCATTTCTGATAAATTCGGTGGATGAACTACTGTAATGTTTCCCAATTGTTGTAACAAAAAAAAAAAAAAAAAAAAAACTCACATACCATTTTCCCAACATATTTACAGTGCGTTTACAAAATTCTTCCATTCTTTCAGGAGGCGGTTGCTGTGACTGTGTATGTGGTAATGGGACGGGAACTGGCGGCGGAGGAAACAACAACAATAATAACAACAACAACAACAACAACAATAACAATAATAATAATAATAATAACAATAATGGCAGGGGATTCACAACTGCTCTCCTGCGCTATCCTGTGAGAGAATCAGGACGAAAATTCTTTGGTGGAGGATGTGGGTCCTGTTGTTGTTGTTGTGGCGGGGGCGGGGGAGGTGGGGGAGGGAACAACAACAATAATAATAATAATAACAACAATGGGGGTACGGGAGGTGGTGGAGGAACGGGAGGCGGCGGAGGGGGAAACAACAATAACAACAACAACAACAATAATAACGTCGGTCCATTTTACGCTCCGATAGCCTCCGGTTATTACTATGGTCGGGCGCTCGTGGACGGGGCGATGGAGAGACTGGCCCGCCTTTTCTCTCCTCCTCTCGCCCTCCAACTCCCGCTCGAAACACAGGAATCAAGCGAAGCGCAATATGGAGCAGAAGATGAGGCGGACGACCTACAGTATTTCACGGGAGAGTCAGAAGACAACCAGGATTTCACAGAAGAAAGGGACGACCCTCAGGCATCCACGGAACAAGTAGACGACTATCAAGATTTCACAGGAGAAACAGACGACGTCCAGGACCTCACAGGAGAGAGAGAAAACCCGCGATTTGACTCAGCCGAACGAGCGAATGAACCGATCGCTTTCCACCGTCCGAAGCAGACAGAAACATCGAATTCGCGGCAGTATGAGGCCGACGAACAGCAGAGGCAGGACGGAGCGGATCACATCGGCAGCAGAGAACCCAGCTGGAGTCGAGTTTTAAAAGATGTCGCGTGGTGGGAAATGTGGACGATGTACCAACACGCAGCTGGCAAAGAGGAACGGCAGGAGGCAGGTGGCGAGGAGACGGGTATCCAGCGCGAGGACATGCAGCAGCTGTTTATTCAACACTGGTTCATGGCGATGCTGGAGGCGGTGAGACACCTGATGAATCACGAAGCAAGAGATAAGACAGATACAGTGTCTCTGCATGCATGACTTTTCCCTGCTGGATAAGTGTGTGATTTGGATAATTCCAGCGAATGGAGTTGTTTTTCTTTAAGATTATAATCAGTGTGCGCTTATATTTATCGATTTTTTTAGTATAAATATATACACACACACGCGTATATATATATAAATATATATATATATATATATATATATATATATATATATATATGTATATATATACATATATATGTGTGTATCTATGTATGTATATATATATATATATATATATATATATATATATATACATATATATGTGTGTATCTATGTATACACATATATATATATATATATATATATATATATATATATATATATATACATATATATATATATATTATTGTATATAGTTTGAGAAGGCGATTAAGTTCGAGGGAGCTGCGGCTTCTTTAAATATATATATGTAAATATATAGTTACATTCGTGAACGCATAAATAAATTGCATAGTATTTATATTATATCTGCCATAGTTATTATCATCATAAATCACCATAACAACAGTCTCTTTCTGTTCTATATCTGTTTTTTTTTCATCTCTCTCTCTCTCTCTCTCTTTCCCTCTCCTTTTGTTTCCTTTTGGTTATTGTTAATTGTTGATTTTCTTTCAACATCCATAGCACAATAGATTTTAAAAAGACTAATCAATTTCTTTACTAATAGAATAAAGACACAGAGTACGAGAAAATAAAACTTGAAGAGATTGATACACAGAAATAAATTTTATTTAGTAGGATACAATGATCAAATGATAATTATAATGCTTTTCTTCAGAGCAAGAATAAATGAATAAAAAAAAGAAAAATAACGATTTTCTAAACGAATGATACCGAGAACAAACAGATTTTCCAAGAGGACATATAATACAAAGACGCAAAAAAAGTAGAAATATTGATCATTCCCTAAGAGCATAATACAGATCGAGCACGTCCTCGAACCAAGCCTGAAGGAACCCCTGGCTGAACCCCCGCCTATGAACCCGACCTTGTGCCATTATCACCCGCTGGTGAACCTCCAAGAACCTTTCGTAGGTGCTCTCCAACAACTCCTTCAGGGTGTTTCTCTCCTCGACGGTCTCCTGAGGGGGGTAGCCAGCCTCTCCCGTCGTGTAGTCATCGCCTCCTTCGTCCTGCAGGATCTCCGGTGACTCTCCAGTGCCCTTTGAGTCCTGGAAGATCCTCGGTGACTCTCCGCCGCCACCTGGGTTCGAGGAGAAGCTTTGCGCGTCGAGAGAGTAAAGGGAGCGGCCGTTGTTGTTGGTGTTCATGTTCTCGTTCGTGTTGGTGTTCGTGTTGGTGTTGGTGTTGTTGATGGTGGTGGAGCTGTTGGCGGCGCTTCCGGCGATGTCGATGTCGACGGAGATGTCGATGGTGCTCATGATGTTGGCGGTGAGGTCGAGGCTGAGGATGGCGAAGGCGAAGAAGGAGAAGAGGCCCGTGTTGGACTGGCGGCACACCACCTGCGGCCGAGGGGGAGAGGAACCAGGTCAGATACGTGCGCATATACATTAATGTGTGCGTGTGTGTGTACACACACGCGCACACACACACACACACACACACACACACACATATATATATATACTATGTCCATTTTTGTATATATCTATACACAAATATATTTACATATCTTTACACACATACGCATACACACACACACACACACATAGGTATATGTATGAGTGTGTGTTCTTTTATTTATTTATCTATTTATTTAATTATCTATCTATCTATATATTTATTTATGTATTTATCTATATATATCATATATAGATATGACATATATATTATTTATACATATATATATTGTATATATATACATATATATACATATATATATTGTATATATATACATATATATACACATATATATAAATACTATATGTATATATATATAATATTGGGGATATATATGTTTATACACACATACAAACATATATAAACATATATATTATATGTATACATACATATATATATATATATATATATATATATATATATATATATATATACTATATACTTATATATACATGTTTATCCGTTTGTGTGTGTGTATATATATATATATATATATATATATATATATATATATATATATATAATGTTTATATATGTATATATATGAGGGGTTATGTATGCACACACGTATACATAATTACACCCATCTATTTATATATACACATACATGTGTGTGTGCATAGACACACGTATACGTGCATACATATATATCACACACACATATATTTGTGTGTGTATTGTATTTGTAACACGTAACTCACAGACAAATATCACATGCATTTGTTCGTCTAGTGCTCTACATCACATTCTCTTTGTGTTTTTACCCATCACTTAACATTCCTTTAAATTAACTTACCTTTTTAACCTACACCAGCCACGTAGTCTACTTACATCTGGGAATGTCCGTGCCTCTCTCTCCTCGAAATCGTGAGTCTGTGCACTTGAAGGCAATGTTGCAACAGATCTTCTCCTCTGAAGATGAGATTGAGACGTTGCATTTCCAAAGCCTTGAGATCCTTCGTGCATCTGCGTTTGAATTCCTTCGATCCTAAAAATCCCGGAGAAAGGGTCCGGATCCCGCCGAAAGTTCGAAGCAGTTTCTCTCCCCACGGAATGAGTTCGAACCCGCTTTCTCACGTTGGTTCTCCCTCGCGTGTCGTTTTCTCCTTTGTTTTTTCTTCTTTTCTTCCTTTTTCCCTTCTCCAATTTCTTCTTTTTCTTCTTCTTCTTTCTTCTTATTCTACGCTGAGGTACGCTTCTGTCTCTCGAAATCGGGGCGTTCTTCGCTTCGAGGTCTTGCAGTATCCTCCTCGCCCGGTCCTCGAAGTCTCTTAAGAACTCGAAATGTTCGACGGAGGAAAAGCAGTCGAGCTTCACAGAAGGAGTTTCGATGAGCTTTTGGGCGACGGGTGAGCTCCCCCCCTGGTTGAAGTTTGTGACGGTGGAGAGCATGGAGCTGGCGAGAAGCACCTTAGAGCAGAGAGAGGATTGCAGCCCTGTACTGCTTCGGCTTTTCACTCCAAGTGCTTCGTTCACAAGTTTAGTAAAAATTTCGAGTTTCGCTTCATCGCCGTTCCCGAAAGACCATTTGACACGTTAATAGACACAATTTAATCATGGGTAGCACACGAAGAATATTGCCGCCTTATTTGTTTTCCAGATTTGACCAAAACACCAACCAGCTTCACTTGCTCAATGGCAGAACGACACTTTACAGGTCCGAGAAGTGGTCGTTCTCATGTCGAAAACCAACGACACAACGACACTTTTCAGGTTCGAAAGATAGTCTTTCTAAAGTTAAAAATCAACGGCACAGTGACACATTACAACGGCTCAGATTCCCTTTCCAGAGGTGGTCGTTATCAAGTCGAAAACCAACAACCCAAACTTTTCAGAAGTGGCCGTTCTAAAAGTCGAAAGACAACGACTCATCGACACGTTTCAGGTCCGAGAGGTGGTCGTTCTGAAGCCTCAGTAAACCAACGACATGCGGCACACTCTACAAGCCCGGGAGAGGCGAGGGCGGTCGTGGCAGAATAAACAACTAGAATAATAACATGGGACACTCCCTACGTACTACAGCTCTCAGCGTGTGACGTCAGGGATGAGCCGGGAGGGGGGGAGGTTATTACAGATAGTAACATCCTGTCTGACCGTTACCTTTAAGGTATGGATATATTCTCTCTATATATCTATATATCTATTTTTTTCTTTTCTCTCTCTCTCTCTCTCTCTCTCTCTCTCTCTCTCTCTCTCTCTCTCTCTCTCTTTCTCTCTGGATGATGAGTTAAGAATTTAATCGAGTGACGATTTTTTTTGAAAGATGATCTAATATGTGATATGACTTTTTCACACATTGTGATGTATGAAAGTATGAATGATAACATACAAAAGGGCATACAAAAATTAGATTACAAAGTATCAGACGAAAAAAGCGTATATATATATGTGTGTGTGTGTGTGTGCGTGTGTGTGTGTGAAGATACACCCAATTTCGTATTAAATGAAATCGGCTTGTGTTCTTTGTATAATTGCAGAGGAAGAAGAGTAGAAAGGAAGGAAGGAGGTATGAGGAAGAGAATGAAGGAGGAGAGAGGAAGAGAAGAAAATGAGAGACAGGCAGGAATAAAAAACAGGTAAACAGAGATTACATGCATAAAAAGGATAAGTGAAAACAGAATACATATAAAACAAGAAATCAATTTATGGAAAAATGCTATACATTTCTGCAACCGCTTTGTCACATTACATATGTTCCATGAAATTACACGTGGATTAAAACGTCTAAATACAGTTTACTTCGACGATGAGGCAGGCGCTGAGATCGAAGAATAGACAAGAAGAATGCAAATGATTTGAATATTTATAATGATGAAAAGAAGAGGGAAAGAAAACGAAAAAGTATACGGTAAGCGCACGGAAAGGCACGCCCACATACATACATGTGTGCATGGGTATGTGTGTGTGTGTCTTTCAGCATATGTGTGTGTCTGTTTTAGCATGTGTGTGAATGTGTTTGCATGTGTGTGTGTATGTGTCTTTTAGCATGTGTGAGAGTGTGTTTGCATGTGTGTGTGTATGTGTCTTTTAGCATGTGTGAGAGTGTGTTTGCATGTGTGTGAGAGTGTATTATGTACTAACGTGGCCCGACAAAGCACCCTTTCCAAGACGATCCTCGAGGGAGTTCACCGTCCAGGTCCTCCAAGGAAGACCAAGGAGAAAGGAAAGACCTCATCTCAGCGAGCCAGACCTGCTAGGCGCTCCCCAACCCAGGTCTCGGTGGAGAAACTGGCAGAGGCTGCTGGGATGAGCTGAGCTGGTTTAGATATATATGTAAATTAATAAATGATATATACAATAAATAATATAAATACAAAAATACATATATATGTATATATATGCATATACATATATATACATAAACACAAACACCACACACACACAGTAGAGCGAAATATATATTAGAGATATAGAATATATATATATATAAGGAGATATAGATAGAAGAGATATAGAGATAAGAGAGAGAGAATATATATAGATAGAGATATTGATAGATATAGAATATATAAAATAGAGAGATATATGATATATTATATAGATATAGGATATATAGTATATATATATATATATATAATATAGTAAGAGAGAGAGAGAGATAGAATAAAGAGATATAGCAGTATATATATGGTATAGAGAGAGAAGAGATAATATGATAGATTGATATATATAAGAGAGAAGATAATAGATATGAGATATAGATATAATAGTAGAGTAGATCTAGAGATATATAATATAGAGATATTAGGATATAGAGAGAGATAGAGATAGAGAAGAGAGAGATAGAATAGAGAGAGTGAGATAGAATATAGAGATATAGATAGAGATAGATAGTATAGATATAGATAGAATATATATATAATATATTAGTAATATATAAAGATATATAGAGAGAGAGATAGATATATATATTTGTTAAAAAAAAAGGTAGAAAGAGAGAGAGAGAGAGCTATATATGATATATGAATGAGAGATATAGATAGATATATATAATATATAAGAGATATAGATACGATAGATAGATATATATATAGAGAGATATATATATATGTATAATAGAGTAGAGTAAGAGATATGAGAGTATATATAGATGAATATAGAGTGAGAGAGAGTAATGATAGTGTATTAATAGTATATATAGAGATGAGTATATATAGTAGATATGATATGTCTGATATATAGAGATTAGCTCATATATATATAGATAGTATAGAGAGATATATAAATATAGTGAGAGTGGATATAGATATAGGAGAGAGATGATAGAGAAGAGATAGTATACAAGAAGAGAGAGATAGATAGATAATTAGATAGATAGAGATATATAGATAGATATAGAAGATATATATAGATAGAGATAGATATAGTAGAGATATTGGATAATAGAGAGAGTAATATATAGCATAGACGATATATATATATAGATATATAAGAGATGAGATATATATAGGATATATAATAATAGATAGATCATAAGATATATATAATATATATAGAGAATATAGATAGTATATATAATAGAGATATAGATAGATATAGAGGATATATATAGATAAGATATAGATATATATGTATAGATAGAAGATATAAAAATATATGATAGAGAGAGATAGAGATATCGATATAAATATATAGCTTATATATATAGAGATATAAAAAAAGATATATATAATCATATAATAGAGAGAAGATTAGTAGAGTATAGATATAAGATAGATAGAGAGAGATATAGAGTGAGATAAGAGAGATATAGAGAGAGAGAGAGTATAGATAGAATATAAGTAGATATATATATAATGATAGATTATAATATAGACTAGAGAGATTAGAGAGATAATCTATATATATAGAATAGAGAGAGAGATATAGATAGATAGATATTATAGTATAGAATGAGAGAGAGAGAGATAGATATAGATAGAAGAGAGAACATATATAGAGAGTATAGAGATAATAATTAGGATAGAGATAGAGAGAGCTAGAGATAGTAATAGATAGATATGATATAGATAGATGAGATGAAGAAAGAGCGAAATAGCTATGGGAGGAGAATAGAGAGAGAGATAGAGATAGTAGAGATATATAGAGATATAAAGATAGGAGATATATATAGAGGAGAGAGTATATAGAGATATATAGCTATATTAGAGATATATAGAGAGAGAGAATAAGAGAAGTGAGTATAAGAGAGAGATAGATTAGTAGATATATATTATATAGTAAGAGAGATATAGATATAGGGATATATAGGTTAGAGAGAAGAGATATATATAGATAAGAGAGATAATATAAGATATATAATAGATATATATATATAGATCTATATATTATAAGAGATATATATATATATATATAGAGATAGAGAAGAGAGATAGATAGATATTAGAGATATATAGAGAAGAGATATATAGATAGAGATAGAGAGAGAGTATCTCATATAGACATATAGAAGATATATGATATATATAGAGAAGATATATATCAGAGATATATAGTATAGTATAATAGATAGAGAAATAGTAGATATAGTAGTAGAGAGAGATAGAATATATGAAGAAATAGGAGAGAGAGAGATAGAGATTATATATAGCATATAGTAAGCTAATATAGATATAGATAGAGATAGAGATATATATATATATATAGAAGTATATATATAGAATATAGAAGATAGGAAATAGAGCTAATATAAGAGAGAGAAGAGATAGATGGAATAGAGATAGAGAGAGATAGTATATATAGATAAATATATATATAATATATATGATATATAGAAGAGATATATAGATATTATTATATAATAGATATTATAGTAGATATAGAGACTCGATAGAGAGAGTAGGATAAGATATAGAGATATATAGAGAGAAGATATATATATATAGTAGTATAGATATAGAGATAGATAATAAGAGATAGATATAAATATAGTAATATATAGATATATTATATATGATATATAGATATATAGAGATATATGAAAGAATGTATTATATGAGAGAGTATATAAAGTAGAGATATCTATAGATAGAAATGAGTAAGAATAGAGTATAGAGATATATATATTATAATATATGATATAGTAGATATAATATATATAGAATAGTATATATAGATAATAAGATATAGATATTAGAGGAGAGAGAGATGATAGATAAGATATAGATAGATAGGATAGTGAGATATAGATATAATAGATAGAGACGAGTATGAGAGATAGATATAGAGATATATATAATATAATATAGAGATATAGAGATATATTATGAGATAATATATATATAGAATCTATATATAGAGAGAGATAATACTATGAGATAGATATATATAGATATAGATTAGATATAATAGTCTATATATATAGATATATAGTACGAGATATATAAGATATATAGATATAGATATAGTATAAGATATATAAATATAGCTAAGTATAGAGAATAATAATATATATATAGTATATAGATATAGATATATATATAGAGAATAGAGATATATATGTATATTAGATATAATCTGATATCAGATATTATATATATAGAGATATATAGATGAGAAATATTATATAGAGTATAGATAGATATATATATAGATAGATAGAAGAGAGTAGAGAATAGATATAATATATATAGAGATAAGATATAGAGATATATATAGATAATAGAGAGAATATACTAGTAGATATAGATTATATAGAGAGATGATAGATAGAGATAGAGATAGATAGTATAGAAGATATATATAGATATATTATAATATAATAATATATAAGATATATAGATATATAATTATGATAGAGATAGAGAGATATAGTATACGATATAGAGATAGAGAATATATGATATAGAGTAGATAAGAGAGAGATATATATAGAATAGATATAAGAGATATATATAGAGAAGATATATTATATAGGATATAGAGTATA